GATGCCCAGCGCCTGCAGCAGGGCCGCCACCGTCCCCGGTTTTGGCGCCTCCTCTTCTGGGGCTTCTTCCGCCTCGGCCATCGGCTGGTTATCTCTTTCCGGCTCATCTTGTCGCGACGATGGGCCGGCTATGTCCTTCCGGACTTCTTCCTGTTCCTGCCCATTCCGGGCTGTAACATCCTCACCGACCGAACTGGTCGACGTCCCCTTCCGGGGTGTCTCTTCCTCGCCCGACGATTCGGGCGTGCCCTTCCGGGCTTCTGGGTCCGTCTCCTCAGCCTCCATGGAGGAGGCCGGGGAAGGAGCCCGGTGTTCTTGGCTCGCTCGTCTGCCCAGATTAAAGCGTGGCAGCCACCCCCCGGTGGCTTCGAAACCAATGATACGTAAAGCGTGTGGGTGTGGGGTTCCTGCCCTCTTTGAGCCGCGGACCCGCCTCGCCGGGCACCTAGGTCCTTACGGGGACTTAGGCGGGACCACCCCTCCTACTCCCGTATCCTAATACCTAGAATGGTTACCATGGGTTGAGGATAGTTATCTTGGGCAGGGCGTCCCCCACACCAAGGGCCATAGTACGGCGTCCCCCACATCAGGCCGGTGCGTGTAACAGAGAGTAGCATGCAATGTGCTTTTCGATTATACACTTTCATTTTTTAAGAACAACACCTAAAGGCCTAATACTCCACCACTATATGTTACCGAGGAGATCTTGCATCTATGCATAATTGCTTTTCCATCTAACGTAATCTTGATAAAGTTTAATATGTACATTATTGTGAGGAAGGGAGTTCATGAGTTTGGTTCCAGGACGGTCAAGATATGGTTCACTTCACCATTGCAACGACATGGAAGACAAGCTTTTGGGGCAACGTCCCAGAGCACATGGATGGACTTCGTCACTTGGATTCTTGCAGAAAAGCTCTGGTTGCCTTACCGACTACTATTCCCACGAAGCCACACAGCATTGTCATTCAAAGGTGAGGACAATGCCCTTCCTTGGGCAATGTCTCCGCGAAAACGTTTTGTTCACGTCGTTTTGCTAAATTTTTCCCCCCGTCATGTGTCCAAGCAGCTGATCGTAGACGAGCGCAGGGCTCGGTGGCACTTCAGCGGGCGGACGGCATGCGCAGCCTTTTGTGAAGGCCGCAGGGAAGGAGGCGAGCGAAAAGGGAGGCGCGGAGAGCGCGCCGGGTGAGCAGGCGTGACCGGCGGCCGGGCGGAGATCCCTCGGCGGCGGAGACGATGCGACAATGCACGTCCTGACGCCCAAGGAGACGGGCGCGCTCCTGTCGGCCCTGCGCGCCGGCGAGGAAGGCGCCCTGGAGGCCACCCGCCAGGCGCTGAAAGAGCACTTTCCCGGGGAGGGCGACCGGTTCAGGTCCTGCTGCGCGCTCGTGCTCTTGCTGCAGGACTACGTCCTGGTCGCCAGGGCGCAGCGGGTGGCGGCGCTGTTCGCCCTGCTGGACGCCTACCGGTCCGCCCCGCCGGTCTCGCACCCCTTTCTGCCCTTCCTGGTCGGATTTTGCGGCGGCGGGGCCGGGGACGAGGCGGAGAAGGACCTCGTCGCGGGCGTGCTCGTCGGGGAAAGGAGCCTCGGGGATGTATCGGCCAGGTCTGGGGCGGAATTCATCGCGACTTGGAGGCCGCATGACGCCACCGTGCCGACTCGTGAGGAGAGGCTGATGGATCTGATCCAGCGCCAGCGGGCGGTGGGCGGCAATGCTGACACCAGCGTGTTCCGCCGTGCGGCGATCCATCGCGCTGTCCTGGACGCCGGCGGTGCTCCCGCCCTGGGCGGGCCCTCTGGAGGCGTTGAGCGGCGTCCGGATTTGAGCGCTTACGCCTGCGGGGTGGGGGTGGCGGGATTCGAGCCCACCTTCGTTCGGCCGCAGCCCCCTTTGATGGCGCCAATCGATTCAGAAATCCAGTGGATCGAGCCCTGGCCATCACAGGGCTTGGTCTGGGACGGCAGCGCTGGGGCGGACTCCTCCGGCCTCCGTGTGGTGAGTGATCTCATTCAAAGGGCGCTGGAAGGGCCGCTGCTGCCCTGGCAGCAGAAGCAAGTCCTGCAGGAGCTGATGAACGAGCCCAAGCTGGCATACTGCTGTGGCTTGACACCAGAGTCGCTGCCTCAGCTAGTGGAGAACACACCGGCCATTGCATATGAGATCCTGCTCAGGTTAATGAACTCCAACCTGATTGGCGACTATCTGCAAGTGCTTGTGAAGATGAGCATGTCACTCCACTCCATGGAAGTGGTGAACAGGCTGACGACGGCTGTCAACATTCCTGAGGAGTTTGTGCACTGCTACATCTCGAACTGCATCGCATCCTGCAACCAGGTGGAGGACAGGTACATGCAGAGCAGGCTTGTGCGGCTTGTCTGTGTGTTTCTTCAGAGCCTGATAAAGAACCGCATAATAAATGTCCAGGACCTTGTGCATGAGCTCCAGGCGTTCTGCATAGACTTCTCCAGAATACGTGAGGCTGCAAGCCTATTCCGCCTCCTCAAACAAATGGAGTTGGACAATTGGGGTGAAGGGAGCTCCAATGATGTGGGGGATGGGTCACCAAGGCAAAAGGGGGGCTAGCACAGGCATGACAACTGCTGTGGTAACGAAGCTGGGCATTTTTCTTGCGGTGGACTTGGCTTTGGGCCTAAGAGCTGGATGTAGGTGTAGAGACTGGGCGTGTACAGAATAGTGCAGGGCTGTGAGATGTTCATTAGGTGGCTGGTAGATGGGCACCAGGGTGTGACAGGAACTGAGTGCAGGTTGGAAGCGATTGCGATGTTCAGGACGGTGTCAGGCAAACTGAGTGCATGCTTTTTGATTTGGGTATTCTTTGCAACATTTCAGCAGACCTCCGAGATTTCAAATGTTCTTTGCAGCACACCCTTCTTGTGTGCACAGGCAAACGCACAGTCACAATTACTGTTGGCAGTTGCAGTGGTCATGATGTGCAGCGATTTTGCTCTGCCTGCATGTGCTGTGTTGACCTTGGCATCGTTTTCAATGGCCACCCAAGTTTTATTGGAAAGTGTGCAACGCTGAGTGCAGCTATCTGCTGGATGCACCCACACAGGCGCACTGATGTGCTGGTGATAATGTGTAGCCCTATGGACAATAGTGGGTGATTATCCAGGAATAGGTGTACAGAACAAGTAAAGTGAACAACATCAAATAAGCACAAGAGGAGCAGACCTGATCAGCATACATGCCAATCCGCACAAAGAGAACAGAGGGAGCCAGGTCGCTGTGGAATGTGCCAGAGTAATGTACTGCACGACTGACTGTAGATGCTGCCAGGCACCAGGCTGCTATTGTGCACCCAATGCCACAGGGACAATTGTGAATGCATTCTGGGAGGAGGTCGCCGGTTTGCAGAACACTGGCCTTTATTCGGCTTGATTCAGGGTTTCGGACAGTGACTTGTTGCAGATGGCAACCCACAAGGCCGCGCATGAGCAACAGGACACTGTGGACGAACAATGTGGGCCTGAATTTCGCCACCCGACCACATTTAGCACCACTTGGGTAAATCGAGAGAGTTTCAATTAATTGCAATTGCTACTTTTGCTAACCGTCCATCTTCTCCATATGGGGCATTGGCGATGCCCCTTGGAGACGCCTGTTTGTAGCAGCGAGAAAGGAGAATCATAGTCAAATAGTGGCAGAGAAAGTGCGCCGTCGACGACCATTCGCCACTGCTGAGCTGGCATTCAGGATTCAGCATTGCTGCACGCCCAATCACGATCTCACGATATAACTGCATGATTTTGCAATGGCATTGCGGAGCATTTGAATGTGCACCAATGCACCGCATCCTTCATCCATGCCGTCACCCTGGACTTTGAAGCACGCACACCGTTTGTGCCTCTCGATGGGTCACGATCTCTAAACAACCTTTTGAATGGTCTGTTGTTTCCAGATATTCACAGAACAGGCAGAACTGAACTACTGCAGTTCCCAGTGAATATTCACCACGGCTGGAGCCTCACCCACATGTTGTGCGTATTTGCTTAACATACGCATTCCATAGTGCGCAAATGTTGTGCTGACACCGTTTTCGTACTGTTTCCATGCAAGATACCTTGATGATGGTGAAACCGTTTCCGTGGTGCACAACTGACTGTTAGATTGGCTTGGCAGGCGACAATAGAAACAGGGCAACAAACAATGCGGGACAAGAGGTGGCGCCCCAACGGAGTCCCAATCAGCCCCGAGACGCACACTCCGCGCTGCATGGCAGAGTCGGCTCATTGGCGTGTACAGTCAGTGCACACGTGTACGGCTCGGACAAGCGCCTTTGCCTGTCCTTAACAGGGGGCGAGATGTCATTTTCATTGACGTTCCTGAGAGCCTGCGCAGGCGCAGCCGCAGTGGTGCGCCAGGGCACGTCCCGCCCGTTTGGCGCGAAACTGCGAGGCAGCGGTGCGGGGGCAGGGGTGCCGCACATCACCCACACCTCGCCAGTCATCCGTGCCCCCCCGTCAGGCGGGGTGGCCGCCTACGACCCCTTCGGGCGGGGAGCCCCCACCCCCACCCCCCACCCACGTGCGCCACTATGGACTTCTACAAGCACTTCGGCGCGAACCCAAAGGTGCGCAAAAGCAAGGCGGTGGAGCACGTCGAGTTCCACGACATGTCCAACCTGACGATCGCACAAGGCCGGAGCGAGCACGCCCACGGCTGGGTATGTGGCATGCAGGGCCTGCGCCTGGGCCTCAAGACACAGTTTATGCGACCCTTGGCACCGAATCCAGTCTCGCTCGCCGTGGGCCGAACGCGGAAATGGAGCTCGTTCCTGTGCTGGCCCTGGCGCAGCTGCAGAAGCTCCCAGACGAGCTCCAGAAACGACGTTGCTTTTGTGTCCCTGACCCTTTGGTCAGCGGAGCCCTCCTGAGTACCGCGCTGTAGGGGTAGGGCGAGCCAGCTAACAAAACGAGGGCGTCGTTTCCTGTGCATCTGGGCAGATAGAGGAGAGGAGTTGGACAGAAACAGCGGCGAGAAAAAAGCACTGATTTGGTGCTGTCTCTGTGACCCTGCCGCTGTCACTGTTTCAAACCAACAGAGCGGCAGCCTTGGATCGCATTAACGCCTCTCGCTGCCCATCGAGCAGGACAATTGCTCAGTCTCAGTATCTGTCCGTGATGCAATTTAGATCCCACTCAACTCATTGCAACCTACATGTGGTGGACAAGGGGAATGCCAGCGCGAAGAGGGACCAGCGTTGGCAAATAGATTTTTTAACACGCGATCAGCGCTCTGAGTACTTTCCTTCATCTTTGGAACTGCAGTGATCCACAAGGCTTGAACATGAGCCTGTATGCCTGCAGTGCGTTTCGCATGTTGAACGCCCACATGCAAGGGGGCTGTGCTATCAACTCTGATTGGTATCAACCTGGAGATCGACCAAGGATCCGTTGCGACACACGTGTTATGCCAGATAACTGTCTCTGGGCAGTCACCCTGCTCAGCTGCGTGCATTTCTGGGTCAAGCTAACTTCGTTGTGCTTGTGCTATCAGGAAGGGCGAGCCAGAAAGTATCGGGTTCCACAGGAGTTCTACCCCTCAGCACCGGCCTACCCTGCAGGGACCATGGAACGCGGTATGCCGGGCAGCTGGATTTCAAGCAAGTTGCATCCCAACAGAAGGTCACCTTCACCCCATGGGCCAAGCCACAGCGGGAGGGGCGCCACCACGTACTCGCCATCACACCCTCCATTCTATGGCTTGCGCCGGAGCACTGAAACAGTAGGTATTCAGAACAAGCTAACATTGAAGACGTGCCCTCAAAGGCGCCTCCGCACATTTGGCACTGCGCAGCATCACGTACACGTCCTGTTGTTTCCGCCGAACGCATGGTAAATAGCGTCCATGTGGGCTCTCAGAGATAGCCGAACGGTTGTAAATGTAACGCTGCCGTGGTCCTGCTGTAGGAGAACGAGATGGTGCACTACAGGCGTGAGCAGGGACGATACGTGCCTCATCAGGATGGCCAGTCGGCGTCACTATCGCACAGACACCTCGCCAGGTGCCCGAGCAAACTCCTTCGCCAGAGCAGCTTTTCAAAAGGAGATCCGGTTCGTCAGACAGCTCGACTACCACCAGCTGCTCCCGCACAAGCGCCGAATCCAGCCAAAGGGCCCCTCAGGGTCACAAGGAGTGACGCGTGGATTCGGTTCCTCGCATATGAGGTGAGCCGCCAGCGTAGTCAGAGACCTTACAGAATTGCAATTGCGATCCGTTGTTCTTCCTGTGCAGTTGAATTGCCCTATCAGAGACAAACAAGACAAGAGATGGTACACGGAAACTGGAAGCGCCTAACTCGATGACCATTCCGCATCCCAAGTTTTCCAAGGTCTCAAAACAAAATGGTGAAGGCCAACAGATAATTGCGCGTATTCTGGAACAATTCCAGCTACGAAATGTCACCGAAATGGAGTTTCTCCCTTTGAATGTTTCTCCCAGCCTGCCTTGAAAATCTTAGTCGAATCGACGTTTGAACAGGCTAATGACAACACCACCAGCACTATTGAGCGAATGCGCAGTTTCTCATGACAACATGTAGCCATAGTCATGTTAGAATGGCTCAAATCGGCACCCATGCTATCGCATCGGTAGGTCATCGCATCATTCGTAGATGCCAAGTGGCTTGCCGGGATTTCTTCGCCATTTGGCTTTTGGTTTTTAAGCACCGTCGTGGACGTGAAAATCATTAGCGAGATAGAGACATGAAGGTGCAACTCATGCTCCAATGAATTTCAAGTTACCTGAAATCGAAAACCAGGTTGAAAATGTGATTTTATGTAATTTCAGCACGTCGTGGCTGTATTTGCAGCCCGTTTATCGAAGCTTCTCGAAGGTTGGGTTTTTGTGTGCAAAAATTGAGCTTTTGGGACCCGTGTTGCAGGTTTTGGTCTGGCTCTTTGTTTCAAGGTTTAGATATTAGTGTGCACACAGAAAACCGTGTTGTGATACGCAATAAGGTAAAAAGGGAAAATTTGTGATGGCAATGCAGATTATCCCCGAATGTGCTCATGTTGTTCCCTGTGTCTGCCCGAGGTCTTTTCGGCAGGGGCTAGTCGACAAGGAACTCATGCCTACCTCGCTTTCCTCACCACTGGACATTCTTGCCAGCGCCACATTTTGCGAGTGACTGCATCCCTGACGTTTTTCGGCTCGGAGATGACATCCTCGCTATTGCGACAGGGATGCTTTCAAGTATGTTTGAAGGCCAGCTCCAACAACATTTCGGATGCCCAATATTTTATGAAGGACGGATGCAAGATATTGAAGGACACTTTGGTGGTGCACGACATGTTGCTGCCTATGCCAATGGCGTCGGACGCTACCGCGAGCTTTGGCCTGGAAGATTACTCCATAATTACATGGTAAAGCGGCCCGACAGCTTCTGCATACGTGCTCAGAAAGTGGCGGCAGCATGATGCTTGCATCTAGAGAATTTGCTCAACAACAATTAGAAAAAAGAGCGCAAATATTTTAGTGCATCAACAACGCATGTAGCCGCAGGAGCTTGTTTGCAGCGATATCAATAGGAAGAAGATAAGAGAATTTGTTTTAAGCATATTAGCTCGTATATATCTCGCATTATAAGCATGTAATTTCAAATATGTGATGCCCTTCAAAGGGATGATCCAGTTCGAAGCGGTGAGGGACCACAGAGGCAGCCAGTTTGTGGCCCACAAGAATCTCCTCTATCTCCATACATCAGGTCAACGCCATGTCTGAAGGTTCGCTTCCAGGGGTACTGCCACATCGCCACCACCAAAGGGTGGCTTCAAAGGCTCAAGCGCTTTCGCGGGAAGAAATACTTGGACCCAGAATTCACAGGTGTCTGCGTGCACCACGGGGGAACAGGTAACAATCGCTGCATGAGTTCCTGTCACGGTTGACGCCTTTCAATGGGCATCTACCCAGAACACATGAACCGTTGTCAATTCCACTTCTGTTGTTCAACTTTTTGCGAATTTCATTCACTTATCAATGGCTTGCAATGCAAATATATGGTCCAGGGCAATCAAAAATTGGCCCCTACTGTGCGCTTTGCCTTGAGGATGAATAACTAACAGACTTCCTGGCGTCGCTAAAAAGCCGTGTATTGGCGCCGCCATTTGATCGGGCTTGTTCTTGACTTAAACGCCACCATTATTGCCCTTACGTTTTCACGGGCAAAAATGCCCACGCACAGGAACGGCCATGTTTACGTATGTTACCGGAGCGTTGAAACAAACAGGTTGCATGATGAAGCCGCAAACAACGATCAGTGTTCCGCCCCCTTGAGCACACGTAAAACGCAGCGTCCACCTCACACCCTAGGCAAGGACAACGACGCCTTAGAGCAAAATTCGTTTTCTGCTCACTCCAGCGCGTCTGGATGCCACGCAGCTGACTGCCTATCTCTGCATGTACTCCTGTTGTGTACTCGTGGCCTTCGTTTACGTGTTTTTATGCGCTCTTACGTGCAAAAAGGTAAAACGCTGTTATACACGGAAATACATAAATACGCGATGTGTTCACGCCGTAAAGACCAAGCCTGTATTTAATGAAGCCAATTATGATGGATTCCTAATCAGGGAGGTCAACAGAAAGTGAAAGCCTTCATGCGCTCGTATCCGATGTAAACCGTCTGTTTTCCTGCGCACTCGGTGAGACTCTATCGATCTTCAAGGACGGGACGGTGCTGGTGAAGAGGCTCGAAGAAAAATGCACAGCATATTGCGTAATCAAAGTAATTGTGTTTTTCGATACGTGCAATTGCACATGTTCATTTAAACACAGGTTATTTCACGATACTTCGCTTACATTATCATGAGCAAGAAGCTGTTGGTACCAGGCTTGAGCGCAATGCAGCACACCGCAATGTTATGACATTGGGGGATATCATGGCATTGAATTGTGAAATGTCGCATGTGAAATGCTGAATAAAACTGCTGGTTCCTGTGCGCCTGCGTGCCGAAGAGGACGGCAGAGCACACGAAGACAGCAGCCACCAGGAGAATGCTATTGGTAGCTCTTTCGGAAAAGTGCACAATTTTTAGGAATATTAAATTGTGGACAGGGTTTCAGCAATGCCATCTTCCGCAGGCCGAATCAGAGCAAACCGAGCGAGTTTGGCAGTTCCAATTTGCATTCGCAACCGCTGCAGGCAAGAAATACGGGGTATTTTGCGTGTACCATGCAGTGCGGCGTGAAAATGCACCATTGGTTTCACAGCTGAGGTACAAATAGTGATACATGTAAATATTAACATCTACCCTCAATCCATGTCGACGGCAACGGCAGAAATCTTTCTTAAATAGACAATGTCTACGTTGCCAAGCCGTGTTGCTCAGCCCTGATCTTTTTGACAGGCGAATATTTTCATGCATATCTGGATGGCAGTGGCAATGTCGAGAAGATCAGCGGCCCTGCTCAAGGGGAGCTGACGTACCTCCCAGATCACATGGGCTCGTACGTTGTGGTGGATTTGTTCAACAACGAGATGCACATCGCTACAGGGAGGACTTCAATTTCGGCGCTGGTGCGTCCACCAGCCGAACGCGCGGGACCACATCCTGATATTGTGTCAATGTTGGCCACCGCATGCTCCGCGCTGGCATCGATACAGCGACCTTCTAGAAACCTTCAACGAAACGTCCAGGGTCCGTTGCCCAGATACGCAATGACCCGGTGCGCCTTCAACTATCGCTGCGGTGTTTGGTAACTGAGCATAAACCACTGTATGCAAACTGAACAGTTGATTCGCCAGATCCGGCTACTTTATGGTGAGCAGAACATAGAAGTCAGAGAAACCGCAGCCGCTGCTCTGCGGGTTGAATTGATGCAGCGTTAACTTTGCCTGTCGGCACCGAACCAGGTGAATCAACAGATGAATTTGGCACCCAACGCGCCATCCGGCCACGTTCCAGGCAGATTTACAGAGAGGCCCCCCCACAGCCCCGACATCGGGGACCTCGATGTGGAATCTGCTGCAGGGTGCCTTGAATTTATGAGATCACCTTCTATTAATTCCAGAACATACGGTGGCGTCAGAAAGGTTCAGAAGCCTTCCCGGTTTCGCCGGCGGAGCCAAAGTCCAGACATACTGTACAACCCAACGGCAGGAGGGACCCAAGTCGATGTGTACAGTGTGAAAAGGAAAGGGTAGGGACTGGGGATGGTCCCGTAAGCGCGCGCACGACGCTTCTGTTGCACACGATACCGATTCAGGCGTCCGAAGGAATCTGAAGTGAATTGAAATATCCATCTGCCTCAATCACAGGTCGTTGGAATGTTTGGACAAAGTGTTCCGAGGAACAGCAACCCATTTTGGAAGGGCCTTCGCCAATTTGGAATGCCTGCGGCTGCATACGCTTGCAAATGTCTCCAAATGCCGAATGCGAACCTCATTTTAATGCACTTGCAATGAGCGTGGCCCGTATTGAGATAAGTCACAGTAATGGTATTTACGTCTGAATATCCACAACTAAACATGCAGGTTGAGGCTTGGAAACGCCACACTCGCCATCGAGGAGGACATTCAAGAGGAAATGTGGCAAGACATGTCCCCAGATCGAGTTCAGGATACCAGAGCAGCGCCTTCCCAACCAGATCCACCGCAGAAGGATGCCCCTGGCAAAGGTTTTCTGAGAATTAGTGCCCAACAGGTGAGTTTTCTTCATGTCATATACATGGAGACATAGCCACAATATCCTGATATCCTTAAATACGCCAAGAGCTCCTCGCCAACCGGAATTATTGTGCATATTATGGAAAGAACACGCATCGTGGATTCTGCTGCGCCCTGTGAATGATTTTGGCCGGCTTGTTACTTAACCTTTGCACGTACCTGAGGCGATTCGAGGAGCCGCACAGCAGGGAGATCAACCGTTGTTCTCAACATAGCTGGGAATTCCCGATCCCAAAGCAAACGTCTCTAAGCTGTTCTTTTCTTTTTGTGTGTGCGTGTGTTTCAGACATACGAATATATTATGGGCGCAGCGCTTGTGGTGGATGGCTGCGGCAAGCGGAAGTTGAAGCTGGACGGCGAATGGAAATGGCTGTTGGACGAATTCTCAAAGCATTTCTCCATTCGGAATGCCTTTGTTCTCTTGTGCCACATGAAATGGGTAATGAGGTGAGGCCACACGGAAATTTACTGCAGTCCAGCAGAGCTTCCCGAATCAATCGAAACTCTGACAATTATTGTCATTCCCAGGAGCGATGTACAGACGTGCACAGCGCAGTGCTTGGATCTCATCTTCAACGAGTACACTGCTCTCAGGCAAGAACAGGGTACGTTTCTGTTTCCATTGTACGTAACTGCATTCTTGTGGATTTCAACGTCTAGCTACTTCAATTGACACTGGCCCCCGTGCGTTGTGCGCGCGCCCCTGGGCATAACACAAGGAATAAACGGGGCGCGTTTGCTACAGCAAGCGTAATTTGAGGCGCATTTTCAGCAGGCTCCCTCGAATGCTGTGAATTGCACGCTGTGAATATCAATTTTCCCCAACCGCAAGCAAACCAAAAGGCGTTGAGAAATTTGAAAGATTCGCGATACATGCGGCCCATACAGCTGAGCAGCATGTTAATGGACTTGGGCCCATACGCTAAAAAGCACACTCTTCTGCCGAGCCTCAAGAAAATCGCATTCAGTGTGGGCACGAGTGGCTCAAATTTTTTCTCAAATGGCCGTCTGCATATATTTATTGGTTTGGAAGTACCACTATTGCCCGGAAAATATCTCTCATTGCCTTGGGGCCAAATATATGTAGTGAGTGGTTGTGGCCTATTGCGTGTGTCGACCAGACGAGATGGGACTCCGCGATCACGAATCTGTGCAGATGAGCAACATCACCCGAAAAATACTGGTGAGCACACTCGGCAAAAAAGTTGTTATCTGCCACGCGTGCCATTCATGATGTTACAGACTGGTGTACATTTTTCGCTTACATGAATTTTATGCTCTGGATGGTAATTGCGCAAATCAAATTCTGGAGTACTATATGGACTGTGCTGTTTCAGAGTAGTTCAAAGCACGAGCAGCTACCTATCGTGCCCAAGTTCTTGGAATCGCAGCTCCAGAACTTTGGTGCATGGCAACAGGGTATGAGCTTCGAAATTGACTGAAGGTGCCGATATTATTGCCACCTACATGCAGCACAACATATGTTACTTTAGTATGTTATTCAATGCTCAATTTGCGGAATATCATGAGCAATGCACTTCAAAAATAGCTTTCTTATCGATTATTGTAGCGAGTGGGCTATCCTGGATTGACGATGACGCCGCGCTGCGAGTCAGTATTTGCACTATAGGCAGCGAACACGCTCAGAAGCATTTTCGAATATTATATTTCAGACACTGAAATCGGACATATAGGCCTTCAGTATTAGCACAATTGACACGAGTCACATTGAGTGAATGTGTTTTGTGGATCAGCTGTGTTTTGAGGGAAACAGGCTCAAATATGCAAATACGTACAGGAAACCTATACATTGCTTTTGAACAGAAGATTGTGAATTTTCTGTGAGAGAAGGGAGCATGGATCCGTGGAGAACCCACCCAGATCACCCGTTTTCCCGAGTGGCATTGAGACATCTGACCCGTTGCAAAATCACAATAACCCAGCTTTCTCAAATTTTATCACCAGGCTGTCCACATTGCTCACATATGCTTTTGTGTGTTGTGCCAGGATTTACTGGCTAGGACTTTCGAGAATTATTACAGTTTGTCAGAAATAGCGGAGGATGGAATCCAGGAGGGCAATGGGCTTCCATTTGAAATTCCTCCATCTGCACTGGAGCCCGCTGTGATGCTCCTGGGTAAACAGTCCCTACACAGGCCCGACGATAACTTCATCTGTAGCGAAGCTTACTGGAACCAAGGGAACTTGGTTCCAGCGTAGTGCATAAGCGGATGCATGTTTTGTTCCCTGTCATCTCTCAGCCCCACCGATATGCACATATACTCCGCTGTGTGCATAGATCTATATGATGTTATTTTGAATCAAAGCTTTCTTGAACTTTCTTCAACAGGCCGCATCCATGATTCCAATAGCCCGGAAGATCAGTCCTGGTTGAAGCAGAGGTTCCAAATCGCCGCCAGGAAGAAGTATCAACGCTTGCAATGCTCTTGTGACGAAGGTGCGGCGACTTGCTCTTCATGCACAGCGCAACATGCCCATCACTTGCAGCGGGATCCTGGATGCTCATAGCGCACGATTATACAGCGCAGCCTTTGAAGAACGTCTCCGCCCAGCTTGGCTGCAGTTTTTTTTTGTTTGGTGGCGACGGCTGAGCACGGGCGTGTGTTTTAGATCAAAACCGAGGACCGCCATGCCACGCAGAGAGCATGACTCCATCGATGCCGCGCTCAACGACAGCGGGGCACCACATCAATGTTCATGGATATCGCCAGAGCGTCAATGTAAGGCGACCATATGTTTGACACAATACGGTCCCGTGCGGCACAAAATGTCACTGATGTGCATGCCCCTCATTGCGCCACGAATTGCATGCTGGATCTTGACTTGTGCTATCCGGACACTTTCAACGCAACTCCGTTGTGCCATCATGTCGGGCTCATATCGCGGTTCCATATTTCCAAATCATGCATGAATTTTGTGAGGGATGTTCGAGAGTTTTGTTGTCTGAAACTGGGTATTTTGGACGTCACTCTCGTACTTGAGAAATAAGGGAAAAGTAAGATTTTCATCACAGCTATGCCGTGTCTTCATCCCCAAATCCCAACTCCACCACGACAACTGTTGTGATTGAATATTTTTGCATTTTACCTGGCGCATGCGTGGCTCCTAAGCTGAACATATGGGAAATGGGTGCAGCTATGGCACTGGCCCGAAGCAGCAGTGCGGTCGCGGAGCTCTTTTGTTGGTGTGGAGATCCCCAATTTGTCGAGCTGCTTCTGGACAGGATTTCTCTTTCGCCAGTTCAACTCACATGCGTTTGCATAAGCGCACCAATTTCTGTGGTACCAATGTGCCAAATATTGCTGATTGCAATTTCTTTCCTTTGCGGCAAAATACAACGTAAGTTAAACTGGAAGACATATTCACTTGCATTCGTTGGCATTCTGGTGAGTGCAAACGCATATCAAATAACATTGTGCATCTGACCAGATTTCCTCCCCATATGTCGCTTTCCAATATACGAGTGACTTGAAGACCGCGCAATATTCCTGTGAATTTCAGGCCCTTCCAAATTCTGCAAACACAAAGCTGCAAATCTACAAGAAGATAGAGGCGCTGGCTATGGCTTTGAGAAGCGACTTGGACGTTGACAGGAAAATCCATGAGTCTGCTGTCCTCCCTCATTTCCTCTGTCTACCCAGCGTGACATCGGTGGTATTCTGTCAGGTCAGAAAACTTGAAGCATCGGCAGCAAAAGGCAGATGAATGTCACCCATGCTAAACAATTACCTATGTACGGGAATGATTTCGGGAGCTAATGAGCCACAATTGAAGGGTATGCCTTTGCGGTTAAGGCTGCGAACTGCCCTCTGCCGCCATACTGCCTAAATTGCTGTCGAAACCGTTGATATGCGATACGCAAGGTTTTGGTAGTTTGCAAACCCAGAAAGAGAATCCAATGGAGACATGGGGCACCAATAGGTTGATTCTCTCGTAGTGCCTGTGTTGGTCTAAGAAGAATCCTAACGGACACCCACAGGAACTGGAGGCGAAACTGAAGGATATGCTCGCCACCACTCCTCCAGAATACCCGAGCGAGGCTGCCATTGACATGCTCGTTGGGGTTGGAAGGTTGCAGGAGTACTTGGAAAGGCATAAATTGGCACTTCCTAAAGGACAAAAAGGCCACTTGGATGCTTTTGGACTTTTCAGCGGCTTTGTGACAAAGTGGATCGACGCCTCCCAGGTAGAGACGTATGGTCAAAGAATTGCTCCAAGCAAATTACCGAAGTTGGGACGTGAAAAATGTAGATTTCAGCGCTTAATACAAGGCTACGTCCTATCGTGGACTTTCGCATGCGCTGAACAACGGACGCCAGTTACCAACAGCAAACACTGCGAGGTCTGATGCATTGAGTTATTGAATTGAATGCCCCAAAGCCGTGAAAGACGCGTGTTACTCCAAGCCACGCCTCTAGCTTGTGGAAGAATAGACCTACCGTGAGACAATATTTGTGCAACGTAGGAACGTGGTTGAGGGCGTACAGGAGTCCAATTCGTAAGCTGCACCCTCTTTGCTGTATTGTTTCCCCCCAATTCTAACCATGATTTGAAACGTCCGATATATTGGGCAGGTATCCTGAAATTCCAGATTCTCCTCATGTCGTTTCCCTTTGAGACGCATTTGGGCGAAACTGGTATTCACGCCAGTTGGGTGCATAGAAGCGTTGAAGCTGGTAGGGAAATGGCGATGCGCACTCGCGGCCAGTGTTGCGCTGTGTTGTGCGATTCCATCATACGGTTTGCCGCAGGCCACACTGCATTTGTTATTGGCACAATGGCGCAAGAAGCAAGTCGAACTAAAGAGTTTGTTGCTTTGCAGAGGTAGCTTGCGTCTGAAAAACGTGTGCATGCTACAGGCGAATCTCATTGGTCATTTCCAATCTCTTCAACCAAAAAATGCTGTTATTCAGGGCTTAACTCGAAGGAGATATGCTGCTGGTAGGTCACAGAATAACTGTGGGAAGTCCCCAGCGGAGCGTCAATCTGTGCTTAAAACAGAATTGAACACCTGAAATTTTCTAATTTACTGCAAGAACTGCCACCTTTTGCTTTTCTATCAGACTTTCGCTCGCCATCGGAGCGATAAAAATCAACTAGAGGCCAAGGGTTTTGATGTCTCATGCGTGCGACAAGCTTCGATTAACGGACCCACGGATTTTTCACTGCGCGATGGTAGAACTGTCATTATTATTACGAGATTTCACTGACGTTAAGTGAAATGCGCCGCTGCGAAGCATTCCGTACGCACAAAAGGCGTGGAATACGGTGCGTACACGAGTGGTAGCATCCTGCTCTTTGCATGGCGGCATGGAAATCAGTATAAATGGACCACACAAGTACTCTCTGATTTCGAGGCTGGTGGACTTGAAATAGATTAGCCTGATCTATCGCGCCTGCTTTTGTGAGAGTCATGTTATTCCACGAGGAGAGCATTAGATTCCATTTTAAGTTCATTACTTGTTTGCTGCACTGGACGTCAATGACCAGACGGCAGTCTTGGCTGTGTCTCACCGCGGGCGTGTAAAACATACCTCTGCAGAATCTATCAGCATTTACCTGACAAGGCAGCTTCTAATCTATTTGTCCCAAGGCTTTGACAGCAACGGTGGAATGGGGGATTCGGCAACGGTGGCGGCAGAAACAATGCGATCTATCGAAGAAGAAATGGTGAAATTTGAGAGAGTGGTGGTGTATTGGCACAAGTTCGGCCCTTTTCTAGAGACTGCCATTTGTGCCGTGGTTCGAGCTGTTCTGACAACAATCATAACTAGAGCTGGAATTTCGAGACCCACAGAGTTTACACAGGTGCGTCCCCGCGCATGGATCGTTGTCTCATGTGCCGCTGCTGGAAAAGCTTCAGCCTCACAGGAAAAGTGTTTGGCTGCAAAGCCCCTCGGCAATGGGCAATGCGAACATCTTGCCCATCCATCGCTTGCAAATGCAAACACTGCAGTCGGTGTTCTTTATCCCCGTGCACTGGATGCAGGCTTCAATTGTGTCAGATGTGGACTCATGTGTCAGGATCGGAATGTGGCTTTGAATTATAGACAGGGCGAATGGTATGAATTGTTGCTCACCACACGGTCCTATGCTCAGAGTGTCAACGACGATGCCCTGGATTTCCGCTACCCAGAACAACAACGCGCGATGTCCCCCAACATTGCGCACGCCAGAAGGATGACCTCCAGACCTCGAAGCCCCTTTGGCCAAGTCCAAAGGGCCCACAGCACCACCACGTGGCGCACCATGGCTTCTGGCTATCGCCGAGCAGGTTCGCATAAAGCATCTACTTGAAATGGAAAGTTTGGAAGGAGACAGTTGCCAGTGAGAGGCCTTTCCTTCTGCAGACACTACTAAAGAAACATCTGTCGGGGGTAGGCACCCACATTCCAGATTGCCGTGCCCCAAGCTTATGTCTTTTCAGATGTCTCGTTTCAGGGACAGGCACGAACGAACCTTGAATATTTTGCGGCATGACAGCTTCAGAACATATTCGCCACCCGTCCCAATAGTTCTCATGTCTGCAGGAGAATTGTCACATATGCGGGGAGGGAGAGCAGAGATTGACAAACGAGAGGTGAGCAATTACAACACTATGCCTGAGCAGAGGTATTCAGGGCCATTCTTGATTGTGTGTACAAGTGTTGATCACGATATCCTCGCACCTATATTGCCATTACTCGAACCTTTTCATGTCGATCACTTGCGACTGACACATTGACAACAGGGCAATTTTTCGTTAGCCTTCAGTCGCAAACCCGTACGGCCCTTGCGAATTACTGAGCGCGGCGGTCTCCTCTTCCAGGCCATGCTGTTGAACTCATTGAGGCGAATGCTTGGCGACGTTCCCCAATTTGAGCAGACACTCAAGGACTGGTGCGGCTTCTCTGAGGGCCGGGGAGAGGTTTCAAGTGAGTTCAAGCCATGCAGGGAGCTCTGCTTCGATTCCTGCGCTTTTCCCGTTGTTGCGAAGATAACCCCAGAGGGGTGCCGAAACTCCACTGGCGCCCATTTGATCCGTTCCAGCCTGAATCCCCGGTTCTCCGTGAATTGAACACCAGCGTTGCCATGGCATGGCCTTTCAAACGCATGATGGTTCATTTGCACCGTGGCATGTGCTGACGGTCCTCTTGCCATGCCGTCCCGTTCAGGCTTAGAAACGGATGAGGTGGCTGCGCGCAGCAATGTACCGCCTACAGTGGGTGCCCAATTCGCACAAGTTGTGAAGGAGCTTCGCACTGAGTACTCGCACGCCACAGTGTCGACCTGTGAACGGATGGCCCGAGTCATTCTATCGAACCCGAGGTACTCCATGGCGTCCATCCTGCACCAGGTGCGGTCAGGAAACCATGCAGGTGAGACGATCCTCAGGGACTAATGACACCAGTTGTTCACCGGCGTCCCAGTCCCAATGAAGATATCCCTAATCTTGTGCAATTGTTGCAAGCCCAACCATCGCAACCCCATGTGGATCGGCCCGCGGAGTCTGTTATCGGACCCGCCTCCCAGTCTCCTCGTTTTGGAGCATATTTTTACTTCGTTGTGTTAGAGATGTCGTGACTTGGGAGTAAAACTACCTCCGTCGCCAACGAGCTGTTGCTGTGCCATGATTACCGAGAGGCTACCAATCGCTGGTGGTTTCCCCATGTAATGTGCAAATTCGAAAAGCGGTGAAAAAGAGTAGAGCTTTTGCGGCGAACGGCATTGAAATCGGTGCTGGTCCTCTCGATGTGCACTGGGTGCTGCAGCCATTGAGGCCTTGTGCCTGGGCATCGCCCACCTGCTTCGTTCTTCAGCAGGACAAGGGCAGCACCAGGATGTGGAGCACCAGGTGAACCCTCTTCTTCAGGCGTTGGAGGACACGGTGGAGGGCCTCCACCAGTGCCTGGACTCAAGAGTATTTGTGACACTGGTTCGTGGGCTCTGGGAGAACATTAGCGAAGAGCTGTATCTGTACGTAGAAAACCTGCAGGAGGGACATGACCACAAGGTATGTGGCTCTGTAACATGTGTGATGCGGACTGGAGGTGTCCCGTGTTTAGGTCGCCGACCGCAAATGATGGACATGGGCACTGATTCATGCCAAACAGGGATGCGCACACCAGTTGCCGGCTGCTTTTGCAATTTCGATGGCCACATTCGCGGCTTGTTCAGTCAAATCGACGATCTGCCAAAAGCGGTGTCCAGTACCCGGGGTCCTTGACTCTAGGGCATCGCCGGTGGCCGATAACTGAATGCATGGTGCTGGTGCGTAGGGCGCCTGGCGTTCCCGGCAGAACGCGTCCATTCTTTTGGATGTTCTGAATCACCATTTCCGCAGCATCATGACTCGCTACCTGGAGCACGACATTACTGAAAAGGATCTGGAGCTGCCCATGCACGCGAGTCAAACGCAAAAGCTCCTGGCGGAGAATTCTTCTGCAGCCAACATGTCATACACTGTGTATTGAGAAAGGTTTCTAGGGGCCTGAAGTCTTGGACGTGTCTGCAGTAGGGCTAGTAGTGGTGGTATTCATAGTGGGTTTCAAGCCAGGGTTCGGGAGTTGAGGGGGAAGTGGAACGGGGCACACCATGGTGTGTGTGATTGAGGTTAGGTATCCTGAGGGGAGTGACGGGAAACTTATGGTCACAATATATCGGGTTGGTTGGCAGGTGTGTTTGGAAGCAGCGGTGCACACATGCGCTCAGCTGTGCACATGCAGCAGCTTGCTGGAAGCAGCACGCGCACGCGCTGTTGTCTCGCGCCTGATGATGGACACGCCAATCCACTGAGCGCTGGATTGCCGCCCTCACGAGGCAACAGAGGCATCAAGGGGCACACAGCCGCAAGGAGGTCAATAACTTCGAATACAAATTTCACCAGCCAAACAATCACCGCCGTGTCAGGCACAAAACCAACACCACCAACAAACAACCCTGTGGTAATGTACAGTGGCGAGGGACCATGCCTGAACGAATCCATCCCCTGCGATTGTCTGTCCTCCACAAACCACCTCCACTTCACCTCTTCACACCAGCAGTATCTTGCCATCTCAATACCCCAGCGCCAATAACTCGAGACAGAAAAGTTTCCAGAAAGTTCCAGTTACTGAAAAGAGCATCTCAAGATGTCTATGACTGATCGCATGGCGACGATTGACAAAAATGCACGAGTCACCGCCATTATGCAATGGCCGGCGTCAAAACATGTACACGTCCATGGTAGCTAGTAGCTACCGCTGCGCCCACCAAGACTCTCCCCAACGAAGGGAAGAGACTGTGTGTGCTGGACCACTCCTGCTGACCTCCGACAAGCCCAGTACTCCACCCTACTGAAGACCCTTTCCAGCTAGTCACAACGCTTCTGAATTTCAACATCGTTTCATGACGACCCTAGCCCCACGGTCAGACACCTCACAACAGTCATTTGCAACCTTGAATATAGATGCCTGGCTGGGGCACTTGTCATAATAAGCACAAGGACCACTATTCTTCTGCACTCTGAAAATTCTTGCTGTCAGCACCTGGCACAGAAAGAATTCTCTAAGGCAGATGCGGACCCTGTGTTTTATTATTATCGTTGGACAAGCACACACACACACGTGTTCTTCATGGGCGCACGTGCCCTGCTGCCCGCTGCAATTTGTCAGTCATTGAACTACCCTAGATAGTGCAAGTCAACGCCCAGTCTACACGTCTTCTCGCTCTTCCCATTCACCGTCCATACAGAACGCCTGCCAGCAGCCTTTGTTCTTCCAAGGCTGCCCTTCCAAATCCTTCCCTTGCTGTCCACAGCTCCTTTGGCCCGATCATTTTAACAACTCGGACAAATGCAAAAACACAGCTGCATTCTGCACACTCTTCCATTCCAGGAACAGTGGCATCCAGGGCTTTAACAGCCCAGTCTGTTGTGAACCACTCAGAATCCAATCACAAATCCCCCCCCCCCCAAACCGTGGGATAATTTTCAAGCATCTATTGGTTCTAATTAAAATGACAACCCTAACAATATTAGGTAGTGAGAACATACCAAAAGGCCAACCCTCTTTTCTGTCCATCTGCTGGTCGTGAGACTCAACTGCCTTCATAGCACTGACACCAGTGCAGCCACCCAAGCAAGACTTGGGCAGACTGGGAATTGCGTGCTGTCCTACACCTGTCCACCTCCAGCCTGCACCATTCTATCCAAAGCTCGACAAGAGGTCCACAGGAAGCCAGCGCAGTGGCATTGTTTGTGGGTTCTACAAGGCCCATTTGGCCATTCCTGAAACGAAAAGATTTCCACTAATGGAGAGGAAGCCCACAGGAGATTAAGCGAGTCTGGCAGAAAATCGGGGCCATTAACTGGAGCACATCCCCCCAAACCCTCCAGGGTGCCCACTGCCCAGTCCAGAGGGCAGCCACATCGTCCCCTGGGAAAGCATCATTTCGTCACAGTCTTGACTGCGCAGACCTCTCCCTTTCAGGAGCGGCCCCGCGCCCCGCAGTTGGTTGTGGTTCAGAAACCCAAACTGCACAGCGGCCGTCTGCCGAGGAACTGCATCGTGGTGCTGCAAAGCCAGCGCAGCATCGTTCCCAAGGCGTGCTGAACGCTTTCGGCCGGTGGGCCCTGTTGTGTTGACAGTGCTTGCGTAGTCATCGTTTGTTTGTTCGTGAGGCAGAGCCGGCCAGTCCGTGAAATCTCGGCGCCTCCGCGCCCCCGACTGAACCTTCTCTGAAAGCTCCCACGAAACGCGGCGAATGGCAGGCAGCTTCACATCCCGCCCTTTACACCGCCAGGACTCCCTGGTGGGGACTCCGCCCGTCAAAAACCGGGTTTCGGCGCATGTACCCGTTGACCCCTGCCGCCTGCACGGGATAGTATGCCGGCGTGTAGTACCCTCCTCCCCCAATCTCCGCCGTCAGCCGCGCAATCTCGGCGTCGCTCTCCGCGACCAGCTGCTGCATCACGGCGATGGAGTCGTACTGCGCCTCTACCGGCCAGAAGCTGCTCTGCCGCCAGCAGCCGTCGAAGAAGGGCGGCGGGCAGCCGGGGACGTCGTCGCCCGCGCCGAACAGCGGGTTGTCCCCGTCCTCAAAGAAGGGGTTCAGGACGATCTCGTAGGTGCCCGAGATGTCCGAAGCGTCCGATCCCTTCTCCACCACGCTGGCGAGCTCAGACACCGCGGAGACGCACGCCGAGGATCCGGCGGACCGGTGCGTGGAGTGGCCGTCGTCGCAGGAGCGGTGCGTGGAGCGCCCACCGTCGCTGGAGCGGTGGGCGGAGTGGAACTCGTCGCAGCTGGGCGTCGCAGAGCGATCGGTCGTGCGGGCCTGTTGCGCAGACTCCGCAGACCGCTCCGTCCGATCGCCCGACTCGGCGGTGTCCTCCTCGCAGCGAGGCGCCGCCGCGGGGTGCTCAGCCTTGTCCCGAGGCGCCGCGGGGCGCTGGGGCTCCTCTTGGGGCGCCTGGGTGCACCGGGCGACCTCCTGGGGCGCTGCGCGACGCTGGGCGGCGTCCTGGGGCCCGTCCAGGGGCGCCGCGGCGCACGCGCTCCGGTTCCTGCCCGCGGGGTGCTCTGCCCTGTGGCCCGCCGACCGCCGCAGCTTCTGGTCGCGCACCTTGGTCTGCAGCACCTGCAGCTGCTCCGCCAGAACCTGCACTTGGACCTCCAGCCGGCTGAGAGTGTCTCCCTCCAGCGAGTCCTGACGCGAAGGACCTCTGAGAGACCGGCGCCGACGCTGCAAGTGACAAGATCAGATGTCAGCTGATCGGCTTGTTTCTTTCGTAGACATGGCGAGCGTTGAAAAAATCCCGCCCACGCTACAGTACGACAAGGAAAAAGATGTAAACAAGCAACCACTATACTCGCAGGAAGCGAAGACAGCCGAATTTTGGTAGCGTGGCACTTGACTGCGCCCCACGGGACGATACCACGGGCAGTACGCCTCCACATGAAGCAGCCACTCACCGCAGGGCTTCTCTGCTTGCGGACCGAGCTGCTGCCACTCATGGACCATGGCATCATGGCCTGTGCACCTGACACATGCCAGGGCACAGACGCTCGCGGAGTCGCCATTGCGTTCCCCATCTTCGCCAGAGCCGCTATCTCTCGTGCGATGTCCTGATACAGGTTGGCAATCACTTTGTCCATATCCTGTATCATCTCCCTCAGCTCGTGGATTTGTTTCAGGGCATCGGGGAGTGGATAAGACACAATCTTTCTACGCTGCGACGTCCCATCAGACACCGCATCAATTAGAGACGCGATCTCTCCTTGTTTGTCCTCAATGTCACTCCGCAACTTGCCAATTTTCGACCAGCTGTTCTCCTCCAGCCTGTGTATGAAATCATCCATGCAAGAGTCCCTTCCGGGACCCGCATGGATGCCACCACGACGGTCCGCGGGCCTCGGAGAGTATCGCAGCGCCGCGCTGCGCAGTTCCTCTGGGCGCAGCCACTCCGCCGTGTAAGTGTTCACAGCGTCGAAGTCGCGAGAGTCTCTCCCCGAGATGAACCCAGAGACCACCGGAGAAACACCGCTCAGCGCGCCAGTAGCCAGTTCCTTCGCGGAGTCCTCAGTCAACTCCCGCTCGTGGTTGGTCCTGATTCGTGGCAGCGGCGATAACTCCACGTCGTACGCCGAACTGATCCGGGACGTCCGGCTTATTCTTGAAGAAATTCGCGACTGGCGGGACGACCCGCTGTCCCTGCCCCCGGCCGCTCCCGGGCCCCATGGCACGCCCTGCTCATCCGCGAACACCGGGTTGCTCGACCACACCAGGCCCTGGGCGCCGGTCACCCGCACGGAGCCGTCAACCTGCCCGCATAACGGACACCAGAGGCGTCACGAAACTCCCACCAAGCCGAGTGGCGAGGGCGGTCAACGAATGAGTCAGACATGCAAGTGCGCTGGTGGGTAAGTACTCGGGCTCGAGCCTTTCAATCCCAAACGTGCCTCGCCTACGTCCCAGTCAGCGATTCTGGGGATAAGGCGCCGAAAGGCGGCCGCGCGCTCCACCCCGGCCGCTCCACTCACGCTGGATGACGACGGCGACCCCACTGTGGAAGAGGACCGGCACCTGTCGAAGGCCCGCCCCGACACGCGCGACAGGTGTTTGGCCACCGTCCTCAGCGGGCACTCCATCTCGCATATGTTGTCCACAGGCGGTGGCTGCTCCGGGGGCGTGTATATCGGGTTGGCCAGCCATTGACTTCCCGGGCCGATCGCCGCCTTCGCGTACCTCCGGCTCCCCCCCTGCGAGCGCAACAGCCCCTTGCCAATCAGCACAACAGGCAGGCAGGCAACCAAATCAACTGGTGCTAGCCGATAGCGACAGACATCGCCACTCGTGCACCGCCTGCCTCACACGTCAAAACACCTAGCAAACGACGAAGGGCAGACGGCACAGTGCCATATCACCCGGCGGCACCGCGCCCCCGCCTTGCCATCGATTCCGGGGCTCCGATGTTTCGCGGTCGCCTACGATGTGCGTCCTTCCGGGCAGGTCGGGTCGCGGTCGCTCATCGCCTCAACACCCGCCTCTGCCGCAGGGGCCCCTCCTGGAGCCCGGACGGTACCAAACAGCCAGCCCGAACAGCTGCGGGCACGGGCCGCGGCTGCCTTTCCCCTCGCGGAGAGCTCAGGAGCCTCCCAACCCCCAGCCCGCTACCGCCAGCCCTTTCTGGGCAGAAACAGACAGCCCAAGCCAAAAAGTTGCGCCGGAGAGCCAAAGTAGAACGGCGCATGAGCACGCGTCCCTCGGAAACCGAGGTCCCAGGACCGCGTCACGCTCCGCGGCGGTTCCATTGCCGCCGGGCCGCCGGGGAGGCCGGCGCCGCGGCGCGCCGCGCCACTTGCCATGAATCGCTGCATGACGGGCCCCGCCCCGCAGCAGCGGCTCCGGCCCTCCCATGCCTGCTCCTCGGAGTGCACGTGGAGGACCTTCTGGTGTTGGTGCACCTCCTGCACCTGCACGAACTGAACCAGCTGGTGCACCTCCATGCCTCCCCCCCCGGCGCCAAGCGACGCCTCCCTCTCCCGCCGCTCGGCGCCCCAATCGCCCGCCGTTGCCGTCACACGGCTCCCAGCACCCCCTCCATCGCAAAGCGACGCTAATGGCCACCGGCGCCGGCCACCAGGTGTGTTTGTCCGTGCCGCGCAGAAGGCACCACAGGCGCAGGTGGCAGCCGCGAGGGGGTCCCCCTGCGCGTGTGGGTGTGCGTGTGTCCCACCACGCAAGCCCTCACAGCCGACACACAGGGGCCCACCCGCAGCCCGCGACCCTCAGGCCGAGAAAGCAGAACGGCAAGGGGTCGCCCACCACGGGCGGCTATATTTACTGCCGCATTGGATGGAGGCCTGACTCCAAGAGCTCAGTTGTCAAAGCGGGACTGAAACAGTTCATGTTGAGGCCGGGCGTCGGTGCCGCGCACACTGTCGCCACGTTGGCCATGCCATCAGTGCGCCCAGGCCCAGTAGTGGAGTACTGCGGTACCCCGGGCCGGAACCTGCGCGGCTGGCGGCCCCACTGGGTACCTTGGACCACTAAGCTGTGTCACACGGAGAACGAGATGGCCGACAACAGAGCACAGGTACCCACAACGGGGCCTGCCAGGGGCCGGGGGTCGGGTCCCTGTGTCTCCCTCTCGCGCTGGGGTTCAATCTTCCTCGCGCCACGTGTGCGTCACTGACAATGGGTAATCCATCTGTTGATTGGTGGCGATGGACAGGGGGGTCAGTGACAATTTGGCAAGCGACATTCTGGCAAGAGAATCGGAACCTGTCAGAACTGACCAAAAGCGTCGCCACATCATTTCGTGATAGGGTTGAGGGCAGTGATACGGTGTGAACTTGGGCCGCCTGCCTGGAGCCCTGTCCGCCTGGGGCCGAGTGAGGAGGCAGCGGCGCGTACGGCAAAGAACCACATTTATCCCGGCGGCAAAATTTGGGCTAGTACATTAACGCAGTACATCACAGTGTGATGATCACACGTGAGGGACTCAGTCGTGTTCCGCCCACCCTAGCACGGCCTAGGGCCAGGAATCCATGATGGAACTTATTTAACTCCATACCAAATAATATTGAAGATACACATTGCTCGCGCAACCATGCTCGCTCGAGTAGTGCACATGTGCGCACACACAACTTTGCTACAATTCGTATGCCAAATCGAAGGAGGAAGCTTGCAAGGTTGGCAACCTAAACCCTAAACCACCCACCCACAACTACTTTCTTGCGAGCGAGAGCGAGTGCCAAAGCTGCGCTCCAAGGCGCCCGCCCTAAGGATGTCAGCACACCTTTCTGAGGTGAAAGGTCACACCAATCGACCCATTGGGTCGATCGCCATAAATAGAATTTGACCTTCCCCTGCGCCCTGTTGCACCTTCCTCATAATAGCCACAAAATGAAGAAGATGTTCAAAGATTTTCGCAAAGAATCTTGTGAAGATGGGCTGGTCACATCAGGATGTAAAGACGGTCATTTTGAAGCATTTGCAGCAGTAGTACTCCACACGCTTGACCAACAAAGCCAGCAGTGTGTTTTCGCAGTACTCCCATGCATAGGCTGCGTTCGTGATCTATAAAAGGCAGCAGTACACTTTCCACCGTACTCGCAGTAGTACTAAGTGGTGGTTAGTGTAAAACTGGGCAGAAAACTACTGCCCTCGGAACACACGAGATGCTAACTCAAAGAGAGCTTCATTCACATCTACTATGTGCCGGTATTGGCCAGCTACACACATCAGGGCATGCCAGCCCTTAGCCAACCTTCCAATTACAATAAATCCCACAGAAATATAGCTTTACTACAGTTTTGAACATGTACATGCAAACTGCCCAACTTCCATGCCATAAATCTGTCGGTGCAAGCAAATCAGACCGAGATGAACCAGTTTGACACTCACACTCTCCAGCCCCACAATCAGTAACCTTCTAGGAACTTTCTCACCATAGAAACATGCAGCATTCTTTCATGTAAGCACCTACTATATAGTTTCTATGCACACTTAACTAAACGCAGCCCAAGTTACAAACACTTGATTTAAGACATCAAACACATGCAGTAACTTGCATTCTGCATTCAGAAAACCCCTTGGTAGGCACTGACCCTGCCCTTTGTCATGTGTGAAACACACAACCTCACTTACCTCCTACTCCCGGTCAGACAGAACTGACCTTCGGTGAATCCCCAGCAGCCAGGGCGTTAGCCCCCCGTCTGGCACGCACTGTTGGCGTTTACAGGGCCGCCAAGCCGGTTGCCAGTCTCCTCAGACCGAAACACAGGCTCACAAGGTGGTAGCAAAGAGGCAACAAAGGTTCCGTCAACTGGTGCTCATTACACGGCTTTGTTCGACAAGGGTTATCCATTCAGACCGCCAACTGCCCCTTTATACCCGCACTGGGGCCTCTCCACTTCTCTCATTTCCCGGTCTGTCACTCTATCCCTCCGGACAAATTACACCGCCAACCCGGTACCTCACACACCGACCAGTACCTACCCTATCTACCCCTTTACACAGCACAACTACCCGGATTCTAACACACCCTCACACCGCGGTCCACGACCGCTTCCACTCCGCACCAGTCCCCGCGTCCTCCTCACTCCGTCCACGCTTCATTCCGTGTGCCGCCTCCACTATCCGACCCGTGTAGGCTTGCACTCGCCGATCCTCCGGTCCGTTGAACTCCGCCCAGTAGGAGCTCAACCTCCGCAGCCCAGCCGCACTATTCGCCTCGTATTCCGCAGTAATCGGTATGTCGAACCGGACGAGGAGTACCTCCTCGCCGGTTTCTTTCTCCAGCTGCGGACCCCGCTTCCGCACCACCTCCGCCCCACGGTCGGCCAGCCATTGCGCGACCGCCTCGAGGTACGCTTCCCCACTCTTCCTTGCAACGTTTTCCTCTCCCAAGCGCGCAACAATCTGCTCGGTCGCCGGCGGAGATCGTGTCCCTTCGTGGCGCACTGCCCGATCCTTGAGATCGGAAGGGATGGTGGCTTCAATCTGCACCGCCGCATACCCACATGCCGGGCTGCGCCCATCCGCCTTTGTGCTTGCCTCCTTCGCGCCTTCCCTCTCCACCGTTAGGCTACCCAACCTGCCCGCCATTGACCTTTCCATGACCGCAAGGGGCTGGGCCATCCAACGGATGACCGCCCTCACTCTCCACTTCCAGTCGCCTTCGTGCGAAAGGCCAGTGCCGAACGATTCTAAGGCCGCGCCTGCCTTCGCCACCTCAGCGCGGAGGGCGCTGCGCCACCACTCGAACGGAAGTGCACCCTTGTTCGTTTTGGTCGCCATTCAGTTCGCTTCACGGCCAGCCGGATAGTGGGCGTGTAGTTTGCGTCACACGGCCATGCTGCAGCACGGAAGGACCACAGCCAGCGGGCCAGGTGGTCACGCTTTCCGGTCACACAGCGGTTTCCAGGGTTACCCCCTCTCGGTCACACAGCGGATTCTGGGGTACCCGGTGTGTGATCCGCAGCACGGTTAGTGGTGTACCACGGTTACCACGCAACTCAAACTGGTGATGCGGGTTGTCGCCCAACGGGAGCTGTGCATTCAGCCCATTTTCCTTGCTTTCCACTTGTACCACTTCTAAACTATTGGCCTGAGTGAATTAGAGGTGGCCACTCAAGGGTGCCATCCCGTCTGTTAAATCCGGTTCGTTAATTTTCATCAGCTGTCCGTTAAATTTTGTTAAAGAAAAAGGGAGAAAAATTCAGAAAAAACGAAAAAAATCCAAAAAAATCAAAAAAAGACCCAAAAAATCACAACAACTGCGGCTAGTTGAAAATCTAGTATGCATAGGTTGAAATGAAATACAAACATACTCTCTAATAGCGAATTCCATAAACTATAAGTATGAAAAAAACCCAAAAATCCCCAAAAAATCCAAAAATCCGCTAATTTTTGGTTAATTTTTATTTTTTTCCGTTATTTTCCGTTAATTAACAGAACAATTAGCGGAATTAACCTCTGTCCGCTATTAACGGATCCGGGTGGCCACCTCTAGAGTGAATAACAAGTTTTTAACATGTCTCCCAAGTTGAAAAACGGGATGCACATGTCTTTCCTTTACACTGCACTTTGTCTTTCTCCTTTTTAGCTGTCAAACCATTTTTTTTCGTTGTATCAAATAAACTCATTTGTTTTATAATTTCTGCAAAGATGGCTTAAATCGTATGCCATTTTGCAGTGTGCCGAACAGCCCCCACCCCACCCCACCCCACCCCATCCACACCACCAACCCCCAATGCCACTCGCTTCCAATCGGCGGCCAAGGAGGCACCTCAAAGCGCTGCAGTGAGGTTGCCAAGCCTCTTGAGTGAGTGACCACAGAGATCGACCCGTTGGGTCAATCGCCATGGACACAATATTCAAATGTGAACACCCCACCCACCCCACCCACCAGCCCCCCCACCCCACCCCACCCCACCCCACACCCCCAAGGTTTGGGCCCGGCCCAAACCACACCACTCATTCCAGTCTATGGCCAAGATGCAATCTAGAGCAGCCGCCCAGCTTGCTTGAGATGAAAATCGCAGCGAGCGACCAATTGCATCGATTGCCATGAACAGATTTGTTCGAAGTGGCCGCCCCTCAACTGTACATCCCACCCCGATCCCCCCTCCTAGACGCAACTCGAGCCAAGGCCGTACGCGATGGCAATGCCACTGTCGACCACTCGCCCAAGCCCCTCCTGGTTCACATAGCCCACTAGTCCTCCTTCCCTTCCCCGTCCGTGGTCAAGGGTATGCACGGGGCCTGTTGCAGGTCTCTCCACCCATGCCTTGTAATGCAGATGCCGTTGCGACTGCATGCGTAACACAAAAAATGACCACGTGCACACGGCGTATGGCATGAGAGGTGTCCCTCCCCCTTATCCCACCAGTCCCGAGGCGCCGGCGGAGGAAACCCAAGGGATGCCGGCGGGAGGTGGGGTGCCACCAACATTGCACGGTGTCTGTGCACCGCACGCTGGCGCAGGGAGCCCGGGTTT